TGACGTCACAGTGCATTGGATTGGCAAGCATTGGTCTAATATTTGTAAATACTATACTCTTTGTCATATGTATTCACTTTTGCTAGGAAGTAGTGTTGTATTTGTGTTTTCAGCTCCAATATTTGATCTAGAATTTAATCAATATCTTTAACTTAACACTCCGTCATTTGCACGACTTTTCGTAGCACGAGTACTATAGTTTAATTAATATTAAATTATTATTATTTATATTAGCTATTGTTATTTATATCTGTGCTTATATTATAATTGAATACGCCAGGAAAGAAATATAAATAATTACAAAACACATTTAAAGCTGTAATATGTCCGACACTCGCACATTACTTAGTTTTTGACATCATCAAATATTTACGTTTTGCACAGTAACTGAGAAAAACGCATGTACACTTGCTAAAACAACAAATATTCTTGAAATATTAAACTAATTTATATTGCAGAAAAAAATCGTGAAATATCCGAGAACACTGTTCCGCACGCCGGTATTCGCGTGTTGGATTCTGACAAAAAGGCACAGCGATTTTACTTCAGGATATGATGATACAATACATAACCGAGCAACAGAAATACGTTTATCTCTTCTCAGATACCGTTGGAGAAATAGTCGCGTTGCTTTTATTCGTGGAAGGTTAACATGACATTCGTAACTAGAAAAGAAACCTGTGTTTGACTATGATTACATTCACCCAAGGAAACCAACAACGCGAGAGACGGAGTTTTAATACCGTTTTCTTATCGTCTAAGTCACTACTAATCATGTAAGGGGGTTATAAGTACACAATGGAAGGCCCACTAAAATGGATATTGTTCAGAACGTTCGCCAAGTTCAGAACGATGTCTTCGAATGTATGCCTCAAATTGTAAAGCCACGCTTGTGCTTCTTAAAATCGCACGCAAAATAAACGCAACTAGCACAAAGAATGCAAAAAGAAATTTTCAGCAAAGACCGTCAAGAGAGGGAAAGAAAAATAAGAAGTAAAAAACAATAAAGTAAAAAAAGTAAAAATGTATTTCACTTGAACGTCCATGAGACCATTCCCCTATGCTAATGTAAACATTTCTTAAGGAATTGTTATTTCAACAACCATTGAATGATTTGTTTACGTAAAAGCTATGCATGTTACTTCCATGTTTCCCATCAGAGCTGTGTTTCGCAAGACAGATAAGATACCTTACCGGATGATTGATACATACAATTAACTTATATGTGAACATATAATTAGGTTGAAAAGGAAATGGAATTTTGATGGTATGCAAAAGACGTCACAAATGTAATTAAATAAATTCATATATACTCATTTCTCACACAATTGGGAAAATACAGAATGAGTTTTAAACACCAATCCTATAAGACAAAAGTTCAGAACACGAGTACCTGTCTTGAAAACAATTGAGTTTGGTGTTCCAGTTAACGTTAATTCAAAATGCGGTTTTTCATTTCAGATATATCTATTATCTTTAAATTAACACTGTCAGGATTACTTGCAGACAAGGAGTTTATAAACTCACAGCCACACGTGCCAGAACAATGCTTGAACAGTATAAAGCTTGGCGATATTTAAATATATTATGAGGGAAAATTGGGTTAACGATTTTAATTCATTCGTTTAAAAACAGTATATTATACTAGTAATTATGAGTAATAGTAATTATGAGTAAGTTGGCCAAATTTAATGATTTCTAAAAAAGGCAAAGAGCAAATATTGTTTTACTAGATTGACTGACTGAGTGATTTGAGTTTCCTGGCGCGTGAACTGCTAAGGTAATTGGTTCAGTAAGCGTAGCACCTGTTTTATCGTTGGAGGTCCCGATTATCTACCCCCACTAGATGCCGAAATCCGGCACCAACCTACACTCGGCTTGTAGGGTTTCCGCAACCAGGCATCTCCAACCAGCGAGGCACCGCCCCAGACGGGACAAGCACTAAGCTCTCAAATGGTCTCCCTGAATGTGTGGTAGTGTAGTACATGTAACTGTATGTATAAGTGGTGAGCGAGGCTAAGATAAGGAAGGAAAAGAAAAGATCGCGCATGATCCGTGGCTCATTTGTTAGAAAACTGCTCCGGTATTCGCCAGGTGTTGATCGGAGAAACCACTGAAACCTATCGATCGGAGCATCCGACCGCTAAAATTCTTCTCTACACAGCGGCTGATTTCGACCTGGTTATGTAGGCAGTATCGAATGTCGTCTGACCCTCGGAACTAGAACCCCAGAACCTCCCGGTCAGAAGAACTTCAGTGTCTAGCGTCAAGTTGACTGTCCTGAGTGAGGGAAGACGAAAAAGGCTTAGAGCTGGGTAGTTTAGGGTCCACGACCTTGCGTGTGCATTCTTTGGAACCAGGTGGACGCCGGCTTGCCTGCCCAGCAGCTAGGCTGTCACGTGGTAGTATGCAAACCTCCTTCTCACACTCAACGGTGGTCAGGTGGGGTTGAGCCGGTGGGAATAAGATGGGTCGACTCGCTCACGCCGGCAGGTTTTGCTCTTGAAAAGCTCACACTTTGCGCCAAATTCACGCCCAGGCTGGAGCGTATTCGTGCGTTGTAAGGGTGACGAAAGAGGCGTCCACTCGATAGGTGGCGCCTCTCGGGTACAGATAGTGTATCCACAGGGCTGTACGATCGAGCCTGGCGGACGAGAAATACCTGAACATGTGATTCAATGGTGTACATTACTTTGTAAATAAACTTGTATATACTACATGTCTGTGTGCTTATTTTCCACGACGCCACAGGTGGCACCAGTTGATGCTCTGACCCACCTAGAGCAGTCGCATCAACTGGGATGTTGCAGGCGACGTGTTGTGTTGCAGGAGGAGCTGTGCCGCCTGCAGTCGCAGCTGGAGCGCCTGCGCGAGCGCAGTTTGCGCTTGGGCGACCGCCGCCTGGCTGCGCGCGTGGCCGCCATGCAGGAGGCCGCGCGCACCACCTCCGCCCCCGCCAACGTCACCCCCGCCCCCACCCTCACGCGCTCCCCGCCGCCGCCCACGCCGCCGCCCGCCGCCGCCGCGGGGCAAGCGGGTGAGTCGCACTGGGCAACACGCTCACCCCCTCTCCAACTTCCGGCGGTAGGGTATTGTTCATTGGAAATGTTAGGTGTTTGTTTAACCCAGGTTCCAAAAGCATTTTTCATTTTCACTGACCTCGGGAGCCGCGCGCGAGCCACTCGAGTGCAAATCCAGCAATGTAGGAAGGATGTGCATAAGACCCGTTCTAGAGTGGAGAGAATGCACAATTGGAACCGTAGCGCGTGAATGAAAATAGCAACCGGCGAGAACATGACGGACAGTTACATACAATTCAAGTAATTTTGCAAGCAAGTTTGTCTCGTATTAGAAATGTTTGTGATTGATATATGACAATAAATACATGACATTAATATGACATTATTATGACACGATATGTGACATTAACATACGTAGTGGTACAGGCTGACCACAGAGAGAAAATATTTTATCCTTAGTTGTTTCCTCGTTTTTCCTTTAAACCTGATTTTTGGGACCATTTCAAATATTGATAAATTCACTTTCAATATTTGATCACAAGCAATATTTATATTTTACGAGCAGATTACATTGTCTCATTTTCATGCAGAGTTCTGATAGAATTTGCTAGCGATGGGATGTGTGGCATATAAATATTGAATTAGAGTAGGGATAAAATTGAGCTCTGATGAATGCCAGAATTAATTTTTCTCTGTTCGCACAAAGTTTAATTTATTGTAACATGAAATTTCTATTAAGTAGACAACTTAATAGATCTTAACATTAATACATAGCGATCATCAACTCATGGCGTCTTCTCCCCATGCGACCCCCTAGGGCTCCTGTGCACATAGTGATTATCGCCCTGTGGTGTACGCCCCCCTCCATGCTTCTTCCTAGGCTTCCTGTACACATAATCATTATCAACACATGGTATGAGTCCCCTTCCATGCTTCCTCCAGGGATATCCTGTTCACGTAGGTGTCATTAAGTCATGGCGTGAGTCCCCCTCCATGCTTTCTCCTAGAGCTCCTGTGCACATAATAATTATTAACTCATTATGTGCGTCCACCTATATGCTTCCTCCAGGGGTATCCTATGCACCTAGGAAACATTAACTCAAGGCGCCACCCTCTCGATGCGTTCTGTTGGGGTAACCTGTACACTTGTTTTGTATTCGTATTTTAGTCATTATATGTCCCGTAAAAAGCAATTGGCCTCGGCACTGTGAGATCCCAAGTTTCTTAGTCGATCACCCAACTAGGAAAGCACGATATCTCCAATTCGTATAACCTTCGTCACTTCACGTAGTTAATGAATGCGGCTAGCCACGCCGGTTCCGCGTTCGTGGCCTTCCAGTTGAACCATTCCGGCATTCGCCTGGATGACTGTCGGAAACCAAGAAAACCCCGGTCGAGATGACCGGCAGGGGGAATCAACTTTGGCCTCCCGAACGCGAAACGTTCGCGATACGCCCTTAGCCACATGGCTCTATATCCTGTACACATAGCGATCATTAACTCATAGCGCGCGTCTCTCTCTATACTTCTTTGAGTTAACCTGCACACATAGCAATCGTCAACTCATGGCTCGCGTCTCTCTCTATATACTTCTTTGAGGTAATCTGTACACATAGCGATCGTCAACGCATGACGCGCGTCCCTCTCCGTACTTCTTAGAGGTAACCTGTACAAATAGCGATCGTCAACTCATGGCGCGTCTCTCCCTCTCTATACTCCTTTGAGGTAACCTGTACACATAGCGATCATCAGCACACGACGGGCGTGTCTCTCCGTGCTTGCAGCGTCAGCCGGCCTCACCCCGGGCGCGGCGAGTCCCCCGCAGTCGCGGCGCGCCTCGCCGGAGCGCCCGTCCGACGGCGGGGCGGCGGCTGGGGCGGCGGAGACGCCGGTTGGGACGGCGCGCGGGCGGCGGCGGCGCATGCGGGACCGCGCGCCCACGGTCGACGGCGGCGGCGGCGGCGATGGAGCGTCGGGCGGCGGGACGCCCACGTCGGCGCCCGTGCCCGCGGCGGCGTCGACGGAGCTGTCGCAGGAGGCGGCGGAGCGGCGCAGCCTCAAGTCGGGCCACGCGCGCACCCACGCCATCGTCATCAACCTGGACGACCGCTCCCGCTTCACCGAGGAGGTCACCGTCTGAACGGTAGGCGGCGCCACCCGCTGGGACTTCGGCGTTCTTCTGTTCTACTTGAGGGTATTTCTCATGGCCCTAGCTCTTTTGTTTCTTCTCATACTTCCCTACATCCTTGACCATCGCATCCTCCGTCTCATCCTCTTTCAACTTGTCCTCTACCTAATTCTCATCCCGATCATTCCTCTTCCTTGTTCCACTTCATACTCCTCCGCCTCATACTCCTCCGCCTCATACTTCTCCGCCTCATACTCCTCCGCCTCATACTCCTCCACATCAGCTTTGCCACCTGGTCTTTCTTATCATGATCCTCAGCTTCGTCTTCCTCCTTTTACGAGTGCCAGCATCTGTGAAAAATGTCACTCAAAATGAGATTTTACGTTTGATATATTGTTGATCTTACGTTTGATCATTGCGCTTGATATAATCTGTAGTTTGGGTCATTTTAGAGCGTTATGTATTAACAACAACATAATTTACGTCCACTATCTTCATTTCATGTCGTTTGGACAAATTAGTTCACAAACAATATTAGTAATAGCTCGAGAAGATTAAGTTAAATTATTATTTTGAAAGTTTTGTACCATGCTATCGGATAATTGCATATTATTCATTTTTCGATCTGCAGTATATTTCATTTACAATTTTTTCCATCTTCCTTGGAAAAGCATGAAATTATTTTACTTTTATACATTTGTGATAACCCACCTGATGTTTATTTCGTTATGAAAAACAATGTCACAAATTTTGTGATAAAATAATAAAGAGATATGTTATGTTGAAAGCAAACATTTACCACAATTCAAGAATAAATATATTATAAATAAATCATTATTTTTACTTATTACCACTGTGTATTCTTAATAATATTTTAGAAATGATGAATAAAGGATTGAAAAAGGAAAAGTTTGGCAAGTATTTATTACGTGAAGCCAAATCACAATTAATTTCAACGAAACAAGTGGCAGAAGCAACAAGTGTCAAATCGTATTACTTGGCTGAAATATTTAATAAAGGAATGCAATTACTAGAGTCCTCTTGAGCATGGCATTTCCAACGTGTTGCATTTAACTCTTTGCATTCATTGCACCTTTTACCAACAAAATATTTTTATTTGTGCGATCTTTATATTACTGGGAGCTTTAACGTTTAAAACTGACATTACGTTCAAATGTTCTACGATAGAGATCCTGCAATAACATTTTTTTATAATGGCACCCGTGAACGTAGCCGCCTTTAGAACAAATGGAACATGGTCAAAGTTCAATTGTTAGCAATAGTGCTAAACGTGCGACGATTCTGAATAGTCCAAATAAAAATGAGAACGCAACAAAAAAAAGAAAATGTTTTCGGTTGTTCTCATGAGCAACTACTACGCTTAGCACTAGAACGACGGGAGCGGTCAAATTGACCGTTAGCGAAATTGCAATATCCGCATTAAGCACATAATATCGGTTTATATAACTACGCATCTGAGAATGTGTCAGAAATTCTGTGAATTTTGCTACGCGAGTTATACACACTAGAATTTCTTTTGTATCTGTTTATTTTCTTCTTGAATAACTAGAATGACGGCTACAGCCAAGTTGACCGCAATGATAAAAACAGTCAAATCACTATTTTATGATAAATTGTATTAATAATTAATAGAATTATTATCAATATTTTTATAAATTACTTTATAGATGAGAGCTTTTATATTATTGCTGCGTAAAAATTTCTACTTTCATTTCTTTTTCTAGTTGATGTCAACAGTAATAATTTTCAAATGACTTCTCCAAAAGACTCATAAGCCAGATATTCAGCGATGTACCGCCATTTCAGAGCAATTTGTACAGCCTTTACTTTTAAATCTCGCATCAGTCGCTCTAGACGCAGTGCCCACGAATTCTAATAAGCAAACTCCCTTGCATGCAACCTTGGCGTTCCACGGCGCCCGCGGAGAGAAGAAAACGGGCGCCCGCGTGAGCAAGGGCTCTGCGGGCTGTGGAGTGGGGGAGCGGAGTATCTGATTACATCTGGCTGAAAGAAGGAAGAGCGCTTCTCATTTTCGCTTCGCCGTCCGTGCAAGCAAGAAGAGCGCAAGAGTTTGTCCCGGTGGTACACGAATCTGCACGTGAAAAGACTTCGTAACAACGCAGCGAAGATTACGTTTATGTTCCAGTGAAGTTTTTATTTCAAACAGCTTTTCTCTGTAGTAATGTAATGCAGAGGAATATCGTTGCACTTTGCCTCTAAGGGGTATCATGTTAGAAGAACCTGAATAAGCAATCAGAAGACTTCCTGAGGTCGTGGATGAAGAGCTTCTCGGTTTCATGGATTGTGCAACTATCCTATATATGATTTGTTTTAGATAGTATCGGTGTTTACTTCTTAGTGTTGGGAGACGTCGATGACGTTGAGGACTTGAAGTAGGTTGTGAACCAGATAGACGGAAGTTTTGTTATTAAATTGTTATTTTTGTTATTGAGAAAGACTATCATTTACTCGTAAGAAAAAACGGTTGACAGGAAGTCGATGACTTTGTCGATGACGCACATTAGCGAGGTCACCAGAAATGTTCACAGTTTCAAGTTCAATTTAACCTAATTTTGCATACTTAAGTGCAATTTGTAGTATTTGCATTTTACAGGCAACGTGAGGGCGATACCAATGTTTTTGACATGCGAGGGTTACACATAACTGCCAGAACATCTCGTGCGATGCACGTGCGTTGCCAGTCCGTCTACGTCCGTTATTACCATTGCCGCCGCTTGGTTCCGCAGGAGACTACGAATTATTGAAACACTTGTTGTAAAGTCTCACGAGAAAACGATCGCAATTTCATAAAGTTTGAATTACTAATCCAAAGTGTGTAAAAGGATTTTATGACAGAACTTTTGTGTGTCTTTGTAGTGGTTTAATAGAAAACAGGCTGAATTAAACAAATGTAAAAATTTTGTAATGTTTAGTTTCAACCAAACGCGCCCAAAAATTTTCTATGTAGTATTTAAATAATAAAATTACCTGCAATTATTCGTTTCGGTTTTCTTAATCAATAACTACGGAGCATTGTTGTAGTTACAAAATGAACCAAACTGTAATATAACCAGGATTTTCTACGTTTGAATTGCACGAAATATATTATAAATTATTTTTCCAATAATAATAATAATAATAATAATAATAATAATAATAATAATAATACTATTAATAATAATAATATTAATAATAATAATATGTAAGAAATCCGAGAATAAACAATTTTATTGTGATTTTGTTGTAGATCTTGAGCCCGTATAATATTTCCTGATAATTAGACACAAATCAAATATTGTTCAATTGCTGTTAGTTTCAATATCAAGTGTTATTTTTAAACAAATTTGTAAAAGTACGTTTTGAGTAAATGAGGTTTAAAAATGAATGTGATCGGTGAGAACATAACGCATTTCACGGATCACAAGTAATGTTTTCCTTCATAATTCGAAAAAGACAGTAATATTGTTGAAATTAGGACACCCGTGTACTTTTAATTTGCTTTTTAATGCACTTTTTAAACCCTGATAACTTTACCCACCACCTTAAGTCTTGTGTATTGAACTATAGAGCTGAGAAGAAAAATGTTCGAGGAAGAACCTCTGCAGTGTTACGTAATTTTTCACAGGGGACATGGTTGTCACACGTGGCTGCGGCTATGGATGTCCGGCAACGGCGCAGCGATCGTCGAGCAAAGCAGGCTAGGTCCCGAGGGACGAATAAAAGAAAAGAGACGCCCCGGAGACTACGTGGGCGGGACTGCCAAGACGATCTGATGCAGGTAAAAAATATTAATACCAACTGGGTGGTAATGCCTCCAGCGGGTATTTTTGTGCTGAAAAATGTTATTTGTGACAAGTTGGGGGTGAATATTGGTGGCCTGAAACATCCCCAAAAATTATCTATAAAATACTCTTAAAATGTTATTTTTTGTTATTTAAGATCGCATCATCTTCTAGGTCATTAGCGACCACTATTGCGTGTAACGGTATGGTAACTGTGAGGTTGACACGATATGATGATGATGATAGGGGGTGAGAGGACAACACAATACAACCATGCCCGAGGCGGCACTCGAACCCGCGATCCTTCGGTCCGAGATCGCTACGGCACTACTGCCTTAGCGATCCCGGATACCAGATCGGCTAAAATGCTTTTATAATGCCCTGAAAGAAAAGAAAAGAGACGTAATTTTTTTCATCAAAACCTCTTCAGATGAGCAACTTAAACTGTTGGCTATATGACACTCAGTAATCCAGGCTTCTTTCTTTCGTTCAAGTGAGGTCAGCTTGCAAACTTTTGGTTTGAACTGTTATTTACCAGGAAATCTCTGTCTTAACTAATCCCGAAATCATCTTACTGGACAATGGCACTGATATGCATCACAGGAACCTTAGATTAACATACCCACAACGACAGACATTGCAATTTCTGAGCGCAGAAAACGAAAAGTCTACTGAGTAATTCTGCGGAGAATATTTTTTGCATCTCGTAAATATTATTTATTGCAACTTATATTACATGTATATTAAAATCAATTACATTAGCTTTAAAAATGTCGGTAAAAGGTAAAAAATGATATATTAGCCTAAGTGGACGAAAATAATAAATAATTTTATTGTCATTTCCATATAAAAATTTGTCATTTCCTTTTGTGATAACATAAAATTAATGTCTACATTAAACGACACGGTTCTAAAGTGAAAAGTAAAAATGACACTTCATTAAAATCCGCCTCTTAGTGATAAGCGAAGTCATTAAAAAAGAAATTTTAAATATAATTCGGTTATCTGGCTCATCAATGTTTGGTTCCGGAGAGTTGCATGAAAAGTAGCGATACACATGGTGTATCGCTAGAGATTTTTTTAAAATATGAGTTGTATTACGAGTAAAATGTTGTTAATCGGAAATATGATTAATAAAATCCTTAGGATTCATTTTTATATAGGAAAATGCACTGTACAAGTATATAAAGCCCCCTTAATTTCATCGCCGTCGGTGCTCTTGAAAAAACAAAGAACAATACTATATATCCATGTCAAATACATATATCGTTAAATAACTCCTAAACGAAGCATTAACAACAAACATTTTGAGGCCGAAGGCCTCAAAAAAACACACCGTAATCTACAGGATGAGATCTTTTTGTTTTTGCTGGTCCGGCGCTTCCCGATATTAACCCACCTGCTCAGAGACGTGCAGAATATGATACTAAATGCGTATGAGAGAGGCAAAGATAGACTCAGACAGACTGAGACAACGACAGACACAGAGAAACGAAGAGAGAGTCAGAGAGGGGAGAGAGAAATGGAGAAGGAAGTAGAAACAGGGAAATTAAGGACAGAACAACGTTTGCCGAGTTCCGCTAGTGCTTAATATACACATGAAAGAACTAGTTATGAACTAACTGCATGGACATTTAACGACACACCAATTTTTTTTTCATATTTACCCAAGTATTTTTTTAATTACGGTACTGGTCACATTCTCCAAAGCATTTCGGCATATACAAGTTCGCAACATTTCAATAGCACCTTTTCTAAAGGTTTGATTATGTCCGATTACCGCACGTGCCACTCCCAGTTCGCCCCAAACTCTTCTTCCCATCTCGCGACCGTCCTCTATAGAAGGATATTATTTTCAAGGGCTTTCACGAATTTCATGCGACATTTTCGGGTTTATCTCCCATAGATTACGTTTACATTGGAGTATGAGCGCTGCTGGAAACTGGTTACACTCGTCTGTCACGGCGGCATTGATTTCACCTTGCTCTCTGTGCTAGTGGATGCAAATCCAGAGTCACCTTTTGTTGATGACATACGGTTAGTTCAACATTTAGATGATGTCATAATGTGAATAAATAAATAATAAATTTAGATGATGCCGGACAGCCCAGATCATAGTTTCAACATATCTTTCACGCAACCAATAAAATTGTGTGATCCGATGACATTTCTTTTAGAAAAAAAACATTTACCGTTACTTCGCCCACCCCTTATTTTGAACTATTACAATAACGTGTCAAATTCTGTAAAATAAACAATGATTTAATTCATTGAAAAAATATAACACATAAACTTAAACAAACTATGAATTGCAGTTTTTTGTACTAGTAAAATGGTGTATCATTTCTATAATGTTTCCTCTGAATCCGTTCCCTAATTACGGTTCTCAGTAACAAGATTTTCGGCCCTACCTGAGATGAATGGAGAGATGGATGAGCGAACTAACACACGAATTAACCATTGTTTCCCCAGAAGCGATCTGGCAGTGTCGTACGCGGGAGTTGCGGATGCTTCAGCCCCCGCCTCCGCTGCCCCCGCCGCCGCCGCCGCCGCCGCCGCCCCCATCGCCGCCTCCACACGTCATCGGCACACGACACCATCTTCCAAAGGACCCGAGGAGCGAAATGATATTTTTAATCGTCTTGTAACATACTTACGTCTTTTTGCTGTTGTGGTTATATTTAATAAGCGAAAATCATTGTAAAAACGATAATTGTTTGGAATAAATCCATCAAATTATCAGTGTGCTTTCTATCTCGAAAGAGGCTCTGTGAAGTCACAGCGGTCATCCTTTCCGAAGAACCTCAAATTACACCGCAACCTTTCTTACAACTGATTAAAATTTCTAAAAAGCATTCACTATTATAACTTGTTATGGTGGACGTAGACTGCATTCAGCGAAAAAAATTCTTGCTTCCATATTCTTTTCTTCACGATAATAATGAACGATTAAATTTTTAGCGCGAATAAAAACCTCCCTACTCTCTAGTCGTAAAATGAAGACAAGGATTTGAATAATATCTCAAATAGATTTATAGAATGAGTACGTTTTGGATTTTAAACATTAAAAATAAGGTTTCCCGATGTAAACTGATTAATGAAGTAATCAGAATAAATTAATTTCGGTATAAAAAGCACACATATTTTGAACGAACCAAGTTGTTTTTTCTTTATTTTTAAATCCCACAATATAATCCCACAAAAAAATACAATCAGTTTAGTATTATTATATCAGAGCAAAGAATTTTGTTTTAAACTAGGGTTTTCTAAATACCCATGCTACAAACTGCTATTTTTTACTCTTCAGATATCATATATTCCCATCAATCTGAAAAGAGACTTCAAATTGAAATATGTATGCCCAACAGATTCTTGGGGAACCATTTGGTAGGCATTCTTTATAATATTATATTTTAAAAAAATAGAATAAATACAACAAAGGAATGCAAAGCGAGTGCAATTATACACGTCATTGAACACATTTGCCAACTTTCATTAATTGTGCAATTCTATTATAAACAACACTGCCGTAAAGCACAAACTTCTGTTTAACAAATCAATAACATTACATTTGTATAAATAAATAACAAGAACCAACACTTTCATATTCATATTCATATATTATATAAATATAAATAAAATGTTAAAGGACCAACTTAATTTCAGAGTTTAGTACGAAATTCATCCTTTCTTATATTCTATTAAATTGGTAAGAGAAGCAAATGTGGTCATTTACTTCGGCTGACGATAGAAAATTATACATTGGAATTATTGATTAATGAATGATTTCTCCATTTAGAACAAAATGCATCCACATTAATATAAAAACCTCAGATACAAACATAAATACAATATAAATTGTATAAAAATAAATTTAAAATGTTTTGTCTACCATTATGTGTTTAATCAAAACAGGTAGGTTGATACAGGTAATATATATCGTGTGTATATGTATACACATAATATACATACAATGTTAATTTGGTTAAGAACTCTGCGAATTCACAGTATATTTCTCTCTTAGTCTAATAATTAGCCGTTTTAAATACCAACGCAATAAGTTGTTTTTGTTCTAGTAGTTTGTTCAAAAGCACGAAAAATGCGGCAGCTAAGATATACTTCGTTAAATATTAAATAATAAACTAATTATTATTATTATTATTATTATTATTATTATTATTAATAATAATAATAAAAATAACAATCAATAAGTACCCTCAAACATCATAAGGCTGACCCTCAATCGGTTCACCATTTCCCCTTCCACCGTCGTCATCACCATCTCCGCCTCCCGTACACGTCACTCACGTCCACTGTGAAGTGCCCGGCCCCCTGTCCCCTCTCCCACCCCCACCACCTTCCTGTGGACCGCCCCTTCCCAATCACGCTATATCCCTTCACCCACCGTTTGGCCCTCTCCCTTCCCATCCTCCCTCTCCCTTCTCATCCATCCTTCTACTACTCGTCAAATTACCCTTCCCTGTTAGCCACCCCCTCACAATCCTTCCCCTTTCCCTTTCCACGCCCTCTGCTTTCCACCACTCCCTACCCCTTCCGAAACCTCCCTCTCCTCTTCACCCTACCCCTCGTCCCTTACCACCCACGCTCCAACACCACACTTCTGCTTTTAGCATAACAAATTACCGGCCGTCAGAGAAGATGAGAGCGAAAATTGAGCCTGTAATTACAGAGCTATAAAACAGCGGGAAATTAACCACCAGTGGGGGTGACTACGCTACGAATGACCCCTCATCCCCCCTCCCCCCCCCCCCGGCCCGCCGCTGGTCGTCTATGCTGTTACGTTTGGGAGTCCTCGCCTTTTGGAGGGAGCACGTTAGTCTGTTGCCTCTTTTTTTCTCTATCATGCCGTGTTTTAGTCCGAAGAGATTGAAAGAGATTTATTTTAGAACGTTCTTTGGCTACGGTTTCATATGGCCAGATTCCTACATTTTTTAATAAGGTGGGTCCTTTCCGAGAGGACCTGTGATGTTGATACGTGGTGAGTAAAGGAAGGATTCATATAGGGAAGTTTTTAATGGTCTCCTTTGCAATTTCTGGGATAGTTTTAATGTGCCGTAATTTCGCCACTGACTAGAGGAGAAAATGAAATGTTTGCTAGTAGCCATTAAGCGAATTTAACTGCCTCGATTCTTATGGCTTTTCATACGAGTTGTGAATGATTTCCATTGTTACGTTTTTCTTTGAAATTATGTAATTTGTCTCGACTCTGCAAATTACATGCGACAGTAATAAGGATTTTTCAGGTCGTGTGAGAATTAAATTCGTTTCGTAATGACCTTTACCTTTTTCAGAGAAACTTCTTACAAAATTGGTATAAACGGACGTCAGTTTTTTGTTTCACTCCATACATTCTTACATTTTTTTCTTTTCAGTACTGCAATTTTACAATCTGTTCATAACTGAACATTTACAAACGGTATATATTAAAAATATATGAGAGACTTCTTGAAAAGTTTATGTATATAGAAGTCGGATTTGTATTCCATTCATAAATGTTCTTATTTTTATTTGCGGAAATTTTCAATATATTTGTATGTGAATATTATGCAAATGATATCAAATAAGAAGAATACGATAGAAATTAATAACTATAATATCATTACAAAATGTTTGTTAGTCCAAAATGTTTTTTTTTATTCCAGTGTGTATACAATTGGCTTGTTGTTTAGCAACTTTGTTTGGAGATGTTTTTCGTGTATGTACAAATACTCAGACACATTGGATTTCATTTTATGATACGGTCATCTGGTACGCTAGGTACATTGAGGTACACAGAGGTACGCTAAGGTTATTGCAGATCGCTTTATCTTTTCACCAACTATAGTTCGTTCACTACATTTCTCAATATTTTAGTTTCTAATTAGGCAATAATTTCGCAATTTACATTCATGGCGGACTCGATTCAGTAAGTTCATATTGGTTTTTGCCTTGTGTTTAAGTTCTTTATTACACGATGAAAGTTTTTATCTTAGAATTTTGGAGTCGAGACAAGTAATTTAAATTCGGCGTTTATACTCTTGGTTTTCATAAGGATTTTCCAAGTTAATCGTCTGTGTAAATGCAACCCACAACATTTTACTACTTTTGTTTCCAGAAGTTCTGCCTCATTAGTCTCACCTCTGAAGCTCCAGATAATTTTCTAGAAAATGGATGAAACTACTTCTGTATATATTTCATTCTCGTCTAGAGAAAGTGTGTTTGAATGTATCTTATAGATCCGATTTTCATTAACACTTCTGATATTTTAAAAATTCTAAAAACCTATATATTCATAATTGTAAAGGATTTTCATTTAGATTTTAAATTTTTGTTCGTAATTTTTACTTATTAAGTAGTTCGTAGTATAAACTCTTAGATTTTGATAAAATCATAAAATTAATAAAATGAACTCCTCTATCTGTCGTTGTTTGTCCATTACGGGTTCAATCTGTCTGGATAAAATATTCGTTGTTTCCTTCTTTACAGAGAGAACACATAAGTAAGAGTTATGTTACAGGTAGTGATGCGAAGGATGCAAGCTTAAATTTAAAGAATTAGTGTTTCAAATACAAATATTCGCCCGTGTAAAAAGGGGTAAGTATTCTGCAATCATTTGAAAAATGTCCCTTCAAAACACAAATCAGTTATTAAAATAATATGTGATGCATTATGTTTTTAAATGAAGGCCGATGGCATAATTTTCTACAATAGTCCACTACGGTAAAGTCCAGATCTTGGTAAATATAAAACATTTCAATGACATTTTCAGAAATTGGTTTATCTCCGAGTTCATAGTGAAAAGGGGTTGTTTTGTGCCAGAATTGTTAACCTCCCTTATTTCATCAGTTGTCGAAAATAAGTAGTGAACGACGGGGGCGGTGGCTCAGGCCATCAACTGATGTCAATAAAGCGTCACTACCCGACTGCGGCAGAATTTTCGACACTGGCTTGTCAGATATGTCGAATTCAGTCGCTGTCTGGAGGAGAAATCCAGCGGCCGGCTGCTCCTATTGGTATCTTTTCGTGGTTTCTCCGATCAACACCAGGGGAATACCCTATCAAATGGGCCACAAACTGCGCGCAATCTTTCCTTCCTCTTCCTTGTCCTATCCTCAACTCTTACGTACACGCACTTACACTAACACACACACACTACCCCACACACGTAGGAAGACCGGTCAGAAGCTTAGAGCTTGTCCTAGCTGAGGCGGAGCCCCGCTGGTGGGAGATACCTTGTTCGGGAAACTACGCTAGTCGACGGTACGTCGGCACCGTATCTCGCCATACAGCCAGGAAGACCATCCCACCTCCAGAAGAAAGAAACATACACTACACTTAACGCCGTTGACGCGCCCAGAATCACTAATAATCAACCAAATACTGAATGAAATGAAACAATGTTTACAGGGTTTTTTATTTTTCCTGTAGTGCATATTTAGAAATTTTCAAAATTTTTTACCCCTATTTACTGATTTTCAAGCCATTGAAAGGGTGCAGCTAATCAAATTAATTTTTAAATCTGTCCTATACCTCCAATATTAAAAAATGTTATTTCTTTCTAAATTCAGTTTATCTCTCCATTTAATGGCGGTTTGCAGGCCACGAACAACCCACGAAAGTGCAAAATTACGAAGCTCTCTCTACACATTTAAGTACCATTCTCTTAATTTTTACAATGCGTAAAAGCCATGTTTGCGTTGTGAAATCTTTGGAGGGCAAAAATCTAAAGTGCATATTACGTTCTTGTAATTCCTCTACTGTTTTTTACTAAATAAATCTAAATCTAAACAAATCTAAAGCCCCATTCAGATAATAGAAAAAAATCGATCAAGTTTTTGTCCAGTTTTCCTGATTCATTCAGCAAATGCCCCTTGAGATGGCCCCTTGTTTTGCTTCTGGACGTAAATGTAGCTTCACTATGCGCACGTTTTGTTGAACTTTCCTTTTGCTTGTGATCGTAGGAGAAGAGGTATGGGAGAGTTACTATTTTGTTAGCAATGCAGAAAAATCACACTTGCAATTCGTTTACCGACGCAAATAAGTTTTCTATAACTCGCAAACGATTTTTTTAATATTGCTTATCTCACAACTTTTTAAATTTATTTTTATTTACTTATTTTAAACTTTTACTCATCTGTCCACTATTTATAGTAAAAAT